GAAGTCCACACCTCTTAAAGTTCCCAAGGTTGCGGAACTGCTTTGAAGGTCAGCAATTTGAATGGAAAGGCAGACAGTTCCATTGGCTTTTTCTTATTCGGAAAATATTATGAGAAATCGGAAATACATAAAAACAGTACATGTTAATGAAGTAAGCCAATGTTTCATACATTACTAAAAACTAGACAAGTGTTCTTTTTTTACTTAAGAAAAGGGATCGGTGAGATAGCTTACAAATCTATATCCTTAAAAGGGTTTTTTAAATCACCACCAAATATCACCATATGTATTTCTAAATATTGACTAATAAGCTAAAAGGTTGCATGTACATGTTAAAATTACATATCCATGGGAAAATTAGCACTCAAGCATCAAAATATATCTTTTATTTTTATTTTACGACAGATAGGTCTTGATTAGTACAGTTAATGAATCCCATGAAATTATTTGAATTCACACTATTCAAAGTGATATTTCTATGGAAAATAAGGTAATTGGTTCCAGCTTGATGGAAATAGGCAATGAAAATTTTAAACATAAATTTTATATGTATATTAATGAAACAGTACAGTAAAGAATAAAAAGGATAAAAAGATAAAAGGATACACATTTAAATGTATGGTTAACAAAGTCACAGAGTAATTATAGAAAGCAAAATAAAAGCAAAAAAATATCTAAATGTCATTCCTAAAGGTAAGCTTACACTGACAAAAATGTCTTTATTGTCTCTCAGAATATTTTAGCAGCATATACTGAACAGTTTTCTCTTTCTTTAAATCTTCATGCATATGCTTCATACATACGCTGACACAGCGTGCTTTATCCACATCCTGGTGAATTTGCATGCTTTGATCAAGGTTAGGGTCAGCATCCATAATTTTTTGCTTCACGACTTCCACAGCTTGAAAGTTACCTTCAAATTCCTTGAGAGTGAACTCATTCACTCGCACGTTCCTGTTTTTCTCTGATGGAATCTTCTTGTTCTCCATTTTGTACACACGAAGATTAGCAGCATCTCGAACCCCAACCGCAACTGTGCATGCACTAGCCTCAATTGCACATGCATTAGCCTTGAATTAACTGAATTTTGGGTCACGTTACACAATTTACAATTTGCACTAAATCAAATATCGCATTATTCAAACTTGCACGAATCGCAACCTACCTGTAATTGCAACTGTTCTAGGGGTGTGTGTGTGTGTGTGTGTGTGTGAGAGAGAGAGAGAGAGAGAGAGAGAAAGCGACAATGTATTTTTCAGTTTCATAATCAAATTGGCAAAAGTTTTAACACCACAAATTCAATGTCCTCAGGTCTCTTATAAAACACAGAGATCCATATATCTGCTAACTCACTTTCCTCAGGTAAGGTAACTACTGGATGAAATACTGTTCCTTGTCTCCTTCTGCCCCTGTTTCTCCTGACACCGTATGTTTTCTTCAGCGCCAGAAACAGAGCTATTGGGAATGAGGATTTGCAGAAGAATAATTTTGTTTTGATTTGTGGAGGCAAATATATGATTTGACATTTGGGGTTCTACACTGCATTCAGTTTCTTCCCTGGGAAGCCATCTCTGAAATGGACATGGGTTCAAAAGAAAGGAGTTTTATCTTTTGAAACTAAGATTTTATCTCTTCTCTTTCCTTAGATTCTTGGAACTTGTCCTCTTTAGAATTAGGTAAATTATGAATGTCTACTCATATCATTGCAACCATTTTGGAATGGGCAAAGTCTTTTTCTGGCGCTAGAGTATCCATAACACATTCTTGTGGGGATTTCTAGCATAGAGCTGCCTACCTTTGTTAGCTCTGGAAAAACAGAATTCTGCAACTTATATTTTGAATGGGGTTATACTTTTTCAACTTTACTCGGGAAGGACCCTTACAATGAAATGCAACATTGTTTGCTATAGCCTGGTTGCAAATAGAATAAATAATGGCTCATGACTTACGGTTGAAAGGACCCCATCTAGCTGTCTTCCTCCATGGTTGGATACAATTATCCCTTGAACGCCGTGTCTCACTGCCAGCTCAGCATCTTCCTTTGTCAGAATCCCCTTGATGATGATTGGCAGGCGGGTCAGGCTCTGTAGCCAGGTGATGTCACTCCAGTTGACAGAAGGGTCTATGGAGCCAGGAGGCAGACCATATTCTGTCTGGTCTTCATCCTGAAGAAGAGAGGAGATGGAAACTTCTTTGCCATTGTGTGTTCTGTTAATACATAGGTCTAAGCAAATGCTGGCTTATTGGCCCTACAACAGCATTATAATGTCACACTTCTCCAGTAGTGTGGTTAGATTTGGATATACTGTAGTTTTTATTTCCTCTCATGGATGCATTTGTTAATGTCTACTGTTCTAGAAAAATCTATTTTTTCATGAGGAGCTTCCAAATGCCTTCCATACGTCCCATGGAACCCTTGAATACACCTAAGTACTCTACAACATGTTGTAACAGGCACCTTCTGTTTAGGTAACGAAAAGACCAGGGCACCAGACCTTAAAGCTGGGAAATTTCATGAACATCTCCAAAAATCTTCTGGTGCTTCATCTTTCAACTAATAGTATACAACCAGTCTTTTGGGAATATTTTGCCATTCCTTATTTTGCCACAAGGAAGCCTTGTAAGATTGCAAGAGTTGTGACAATGAGTGTTCAAATATCTTCTAAGCTGAGGGCGTCCACCCCTCAGATCAACCTCAGGGTGCGCAAGAGCTTGTCCCCTCTGGTTCAGTGCTCTCCTTACCTGAAAAGCCAGCAGTGGAAAGGAGAGGCCAAGCTCAGTGGTACAAGAGGGGCCATTTAAACAAGTGCCTTTGCTTCACAGGGAGTGAGGTGGAGCAGATGGAACCTGCTGAGCCACAAAGCTAACCCAAGAAGAACCACAGAACATGGGAAGAAAGGGCAATGTGAGCTTCCCTCCCTGGGGGAGAGAGACAGAGATCCAGGAAGAGGAAAGGCAAGATGTAATTTAGCAGTGAAGCAGTGCCAGATTCCCTTTCATAGTTAAAGGAGATTTCTTTTCTTTTTTTTCCTGGTCATTGCTTAGTACAGCCTGGTAGAGATGGATAAAGATGCAATTATCTAAAGAATTCATATACGGTAGCCAGGAAAGCTTCTTGCTGTTTTGGACTGCATTGCCTTTAGAAGAGAATATGTGTAGCTCAGGGTTGAACCGTGGAGTCCTTGGGGTTCTCTGAGCTT